CTGTAAAAAGAATGAAAAAAGTATGGTTCCCCTCCCATACAGTAAGTGTACAGATACCCTCCTCCAAAAAGGCTGCTCCTTGCCTGAGAGCTGCTAGGCATGCTGTCTCGACTGGAGCAAACAACTGGTACTGATAAGCTGGCATGTCCCTGGAAGGAGTTTGATTGTGAACACCCACAGCAGGCTCTTTCTTTTGTGGCAGTGTTGTCTCCAGGTGACAGGGCTGCATATCTCTACAGAGGCAGAAGAACACTTACAAAAGAGATATGGGGGGTGAAATGATCAGATGTTTCTTCTTTTTCTGCCTCCTTCGGCCACTGAAGCCTGAGGCAAAGGCTGCTCACTTCACTGGAGGGAGCCTTAACCCCAGCTGCAGACATCTGCTATGTGCCCAGAGGTAAATCTTGAGGTGTGGGGCTGGGCTGCCTTTGTCTTCCTGCATTCAAAGAGGACCTAACACAATGGGGTCCTGAATCCTGCTGCTGCAGAGATAAGACGTTGTTTGTGCTCTGCTGCAGCTCCAAGATAGCTTTCAGGGCAACACCATGTCATTATCGTGCAGGTATCTCAGTTTATGCAGTATGACCATGTTTATTGGCAATAAGAACAAAGAGAGCTTGTAATCAGCAAACAGCTTTAGGAAGCACAGAGCTGGTTTATTCTAGCTCATCTGTATTGGATTTATCTGGTTTAGATGACCTTTGTGGTCTCTGAAGCTTCCTAGTGTTGCAGCTGTAACAAGACTTCTCAAATTTGGAAAAAAAAAACATGCCTACAGAGAAAAGTAAAGCAGTTTCACTTTGCTATTATGGGAATAGCAATCTATCTGATCTGTTTCTAAATGAATTAAGAGGAATGATCTTTCTGTCACTCTGGTTCTTCACGAACCTGGTTAATCTATCAGGCTGTAATTCTTTTTAAAAAGAGCGTAAATGCTAAGAGGTGACATTAAATAGTCTAGTCTTTCTCTTCTTTTTTTCCTCCTCCCCAAGTTCCTTTCTACCTTCTACCTGGCAAAGCTGTCTCCTTTACAAACTGGTCTGAAATATAACATTTTAAGGAAGCTACAATATTACCCCCAGTACTGAATACTAGAACACTTATGTGTAGAAAGCAGAAAGTCAACCCACAAAACACGGATGACTACTGAGAAGCAAGCCTCCCTTCTTTTAAACAAGGGACAGTTCAGCTGCTGCAGGACCACAGGGGACCTCCTGGGAGGGAGAGCTCAGCCCAGCTACTGTGAGCCCTGAGGTGTGCAGACCCTCCTGTGAACCCACCAGGCTGCCCTGAGCCATCTCCTCACTAGTGGTAATGAGCTGTACAAAAGTAGCTGGAGGGTGTTCACACCCAGACCCCATTTTCACAGGGAGTCAAGTGCAAGATGGCTTTTTACTTCCAAGAGAAATACTAACTACAGTACCAGGCTGTATTGTGAATTGAGGGAGTACAGCTGGCAGGTACTTTTTAACATGTCTAGTCTTGACAGTCCAAAGTTTAAAACATTAACATTCACTATCAAAGCTTCAAGTTTGCCATTAAAACATTTACCTCGGGTCTGAGTGGCCACCTAATTTTTCCTAGTTTTGTTGGTTTATTTGTCTTGTTGTGTGTGGTTTTTTTGGTTCGCTTTTGTGGTTTGTTTTGTTTTGTTTTGACTCTGATAATGACTCTCCCGCCGTTGTAGGTGATGTGTGATGGTTTTGTCATCTGTTGCTGTCCGAGTGCCACCTTCTGTCTCCTCCTGGCATGGCTCCCCGGGCACTCGGAAAACCAACAGCTCTTAAAGTTCTGTTCTGCTTTCCTGTTTTGCCTCCACAGGTACCGGTTTTTTGGGAACAACCACCAGCAAGTGGGGGCAGCTGGTTCTCCAACTGCTGCCAACTGGTGGGACTGTCTTCCACCACACACAGACCACCTTGCCCTTTTGCTTCCTGGGGCTGGGACTGTCCTGTCTTCCGTGATAAACAGCTACCCAGGCCAGCTTAGCCTGCAGAGAGGACAAAAAAGGTGTTGTGAGAAGCTCCACGGGTGGTGTCCAAGTTCTTGTTGAAATTGTTCACTTCCTACCTGAGAAGGTTAATCATTGCACTTCGTGCACCCTCCACTTTCTCAGCAAGTTTGTGGTTCTTCCAGGAAAACAGAAGCACAGGAAAGCTTTTACTTTAGTTATTTTGTCTGGAACCATAGGGCTTTAGGATCTCACTCCACTTGCAAACCCACCGTAGTTGTTCAGTGTCTCAATGAAACCAAGCTCAGCAGGGTGGGCACAGCGTGGCCTTGAAGCCTTCCTGTCCCAGTAAGGCACTGTGCTTTGCTTCTGACACCTGGTAAGGTGAGGGAGATGTGAAATGAAGGATAAACTACTCTGATTTTTATCAGAGATGTAATAATTCTTGCTTTCTTAAGAATTAAAAAGCCAAAACAAACTAGTTAGAATAGAATTTGAAAAAGAGCTATCACAGTAGAGTTGGATTAGATGATCCTTTGGGTCCCTTCCCACTTCTATGATTCTATGCTATTTAGTCTGCCCAGTTCGTGGGACAGAGATAATGGTAAAACTGGTGATGCCCAGCTGAGAAATTTGGCCCCATCATTGAACAATGCACAATATTTGGGAGCAAAGTATGCAAGTTAGCTTAAGGTCACCAGAAAAACATCCCTCTATCAACCACAAAGGGGCACCAGAGACCATCTAATAATCCCTCTTGGAAAAGTTTTAGCCACCTATTGTGCACACATAATGAAAATGTACAGATTGTAACCTGTTAGGAGAAATCTTCCATTTCTTCTTGAAAACGGTAAGTTCTATAAGCTAACTGTAGTGAAGGGGATTCATGCATGACTTTGGAAGCTATTCCTCATGTATCCAGAACCTCAATAAAGAGTACCTGCTTTCTAGAACTCCAAAATGAGTCTTACGGAGTTTTCCTCAGCCAGACTTTACAGTAACAAGCTGAGGGGAAAGGAGGAGCCTCCAAGCACAGCAGAGCAAGGAAAAAGGAGGCAAGGAAAAGGGGCTGGGCTTCCTGTCCTCCTGTCTTTGCTTAAGAGTATGGCCAGAAGTGAGAGGGAATACTGACCCCTCTCTGTTCTACCCCTCCTGGGTCTTTCAGGGTTCTAAAAACCCCCTCTCTAGTTCCTCCAATCGGTGCCAACATATTACCCAGGTCCACTCAAGCCATAACATTCTACCCCTTACTCCATACGGTTTCCTGCCATACTCATTCACCAGGTTATGACTGCCTTCATACAACAGTTTTGTTGAGCCCAGGCTCTGGATCCTCATCCTTCAGGCAGTTTCTCAGGGCAGGGGAGATGGTACAGGGTTTGTTGGGGTCCATGTCCCAGTGCTGCGAGTTCTTCCTGAGGTTCTGGATCCACTACATTATCCTAGATCTCCAATCCTAGAATTATCCAAGAAAAAAAAAAAAAACCACTTCAACCAATTTTTATTCAGTAATTAAAATTATACAACCTCAACTAAATGATCTCAGGCAGAGTTAAGCTCCCCTGTGGCACACAATGGACATTACCATCCTCCTACATTACCAAGCATGTCCAGGACCTCAGTGCTGGGATTTAGCACAAAGCCTGTCTGTCTTGATTTATGCTGTCAGTTTACAGCAGTTTTGGATTCAAACTACACTTAGGAAATTTATTATGTCATGCTCTAGATGACACATGAAACAGTGGAGCAAGTGCTCTCATCAAGTCAACAGGAAGAACACTGAATTCCTCACCTTCTTCATTAGAGACTGCATCTCAAAGAGAGCTGTATTTGCTGTATTAAAAGGGAATGGATTTATATCCTCAGGGAAGACAGAACAGAGGGCTGAGGTTTCAGGTGCCTCAGAATTGCACTTCCTCAGTGTGGTACAAAATTGTCTGTGCCGTAGGAGTCTTCCATCCATGCTACTGTACTGCTGTCATGAACTGCCAGACTAGTCTTTCCTGGAATGGTCTGGGGAAAAGTATGGGGGAACTTTCCCCTGGAACTGGGGAAGATATCTAGTCAAGTAAAACTATAGGAATGCTTGAAATTAATGGAGTTTAGTTTTAGGTATTCGTTGTGTTATCGTATGGATGCCTTGTTGCTGCCTTGGAGATGTATCCTGAATGGTTCTGTTGTGGGGCCTGAAAAATGCAAAGTTGTATTTTGATGGGATCATTTGTGCCATCAGCACCCCCAGCACCATGCTGCATCTCTGAAATGCAGCAGTTGTGTTGGGGTTCCAGTGTCTCACCACCCCCATAGTGAAGAACTTCTTCCTTAACGTTGAATGTAAATCTACCCTCCTCTAAGTTAAAGCCGTTCCCCCTTGTCCTATCACTACATGGCCCTTGTAAGAAGCTCCTCCCCAGCTTTCCTGTAGGCCCTCTCCAGGTACTGGAAGGCCACTTCAGGCTGGTCTTTGAGTCTGTCTTCATAGCAGAGGTGCTCTGCCCTTGGATCATCTTCATAGCCCACCTCTGGACTTGTTCTGGGAGCTCCAGAACTGGACCCAGAACTCCAGGTGGGGTCTCAGGAGAGCAGAGGGGCAGAATCACCTCCCTTGACCTGCTGGCGACACTTCTTTTGATGCAGCCCAGGACACTGTTGGCTTTCTGGGCTGCAAGCCCACATTGCCAGCTCATGTTGAGCTTCTCATCCACCAGCACCCCCAAGTCCTTTTCCTAATCCTATAGTCCAAATGCTTCCAAAGCCCATCTCTTTCTAAGTAAACATACATACATGTACATCTCTTACTTTCTAAGCACGTATATAACTTCTCCTTTTTACAGTCAGAAATTTCCTTTACAAACAGGTTTTATTTTTTTGCTATCTATGCAAGCTTCTTTTATTAATAGCCTACATCAAACATATGATGTACATCTGTAACTATAAACTCTGTTGGGTAAAACCTCCGTTTCAAACACAAGTAATAAAACCCATGCCAGTGCCACATCACCCGTCCCATCTCAGCAGCTCTGCCAGCTTCCCACGGCACACAAAGCCTTCACCCGATACTCATTCCCAAAATGTCCCAGAGGTTCTTTGCCACATGTGGAGGCTGCTTGGTGGCCTGTTCCTTCAGCCTGGAGCCCATCACTCGGTCGAGGCTCCTGGCGAGCTTGGCGACCCCAGCCTTGAGGACGGGCAGGGCCCTGCTCCCCAGGAGACACCAGAGGGCAGGCAGGGCGTAGCGCTGGATGGTTTGGGATTTCCGGGGATAAGATGATTCCACAAGCACTGCCAGGCAAGAGAGACAGCTTTCTTACAAACCTTAAAGCAAGCAAGTATCTACTTCTACTTTTGGTTCTTGGAAGGCTTTTCCAGCTAATATTAGCAAGCACAAATAGCCCAATGATCCAGAAGCAGGCAACAGTGGCTGACCATCCACTGAACAGAACAACCAACCTCTGAGGACCTCAGTTTCTCCAAATCAGAGGCTTTGTGTCCATCACAGACTTAGCAAAGTGAATCATACACATTTTGGACATAATTTTGCTACCCACTTCTACATTACAAACGGCCAAAAGGTCACACTGCTGTTTATTTCCATTAAGAAGTTGTCTAAACCAGCTGCTGAAGATGTTGAAATGCAGCTGAGAGAGGTAATCGAAAGATTTCTAATAAAAAGGATTATTACTTTTTTGTGACCTTTGATGAAAAATGCTCCAAGTCCAATCTGACAGTTCCCTGTGCTCAGTGGCACACAAACTTCAAACTTCAGCATGACTTAGATAATCACCCAGATTCCATTGCCATGGCATTTGAGCATCTCACAACTTTAATGGCATTTACCCTCAGTGTTCCCTCAAGTAGTGAAATAAGAGATGGAAAAATCTTACTCAAGAGGGCTGAAATTTCACCAAAAAACAAGGATTCTCTCTCATTCTCCCTGAAGTTTGCTCTCAGCTCACGTAGTGAACTGAACTACATTAAATACAAACAAGTCTTGTAGCAATAGGCTCCCTGCACGGCAGATTTTCCACAGATCAAAATCTGAAGTGGTCTGGAGACAAAGTTGGCATTTTCTGTTCAGTGGAAATGCTGTGCAGTAACCATTTCATATTCTGTAGTGGAAGGACCTTCGTTTTCTCTACCCTGTTAATCTAGCAGCAGTCACCAACATTTAACAAGTACCTAAAACCCATTCTGGTAAGCAGGAAAAAGATTATGCAGCCTATTTAAAATGGGAGTCCATTTGAGTTTAAATGCTATATTGGTCACTATGGAGCTTCAGAAGGAAAAGCGCTGTCTGTTCCCATTAAGTTCCAGAGGGAACACCTACTCTCTCTAAAGTAGTCCAAATTTATATTAAAATGCTAGCTTTGAAACAGAAATTAAAATAACTGTAAAGTTACAATCTGTTTATGGAAATTTACTTTATTCAAATTCCTTAAAGGGCCTCTTGCATTCACTATGGCTAAACATGCTCTTTAGAGATGCGTAAGCAAAATGTGTTCAACCTTGGATTAGAAGTGCAGGCATAGTTAGCAGTGGATTTAGCCCTATCTGCACTACAGGCAGAGAGCCTCAGCAGGTTGGGCTCAACTGCCTGCTTCTGCCCCTCTGCCCCCAGGATCCTGCCTTGCACAAAACCCTTGCCTGTACCCGTGCCATGACCCCCAAGCTCTGCAGGATTCAGCCTCAAACGTTTCTGACAGGAAAACAAGAATCCTATGATGACAAACCAAACTGATCCTCAGAAATACAAGTTGCCACCATTTTTTCCTAAAGGATGGTGATTTGCTTTAGAAAAGGGCTCTCTGACAGACTCTCATGACATTTACTGTACTGTCCTTCAAAGACAGAAGCCAACCAGGGCACTTTTAGATCATCTCCTGGAGGTGGGTCCTGAGATGCCCCAGTGAGAGCCCAGCACTGGAGCCCCAGCAACGTCCTCATCATGTGCTGCACACCTCCACAGCAACCAGCCAAATACACCCAGGATTTGCATTTTTCAGGGAGGACAACGAGCTCAGGACTTCCTGGTGTTTGATGAGCTACTGCACTGTCCATTCAGAGGCATTCCCTCTGAAGACTTCTTAACCGAGAAGTGGAAATGAGCTGAGGCAGGGAATACCTGAGAGATACTCTGTGACATCCAGCAGAGCTTGGCCAGTCAGGTAAGGCACTCGGCTGGCAAACAGCTGCAGCAGAGATGTTTTATCTGAAAGAGAAACATTTATTTATTCTCACTCTTCTGAGGTTATGAAAAAAAAAAAAAAAGGGGGTGGGGGGGGAGGCAGGATGGGAAAGGACAGAGGTAACTGCACTCTGTAAAATAAAGGCAATTTCTGTCAGTTTCTGAGTGCTTTTCCTGCTCTTTCCTTCCATCTTAGTTGGGAGGATTTTAAATTCAAAAAGAAAAGCTCTAATTCTCCCATCTGATGATACAAAATTGACTGCTTTACAAGGTGCTGTGTTAAAGATTTCACATCACGGCCCCTCAAAATTTAAATCCCACATAAGTGGTGAAAAGGTTTTACATGCCAGAGTTTTGCAGAAGTTACCTCTTCCCTCCTCCAAGGAAAAGAGTGAGAAGGCTCAAAGTCCATACATCCATTCACACTTTAAGAATAAGCTGGTGTTAAATCTTTTAAGGTATCTGTTGGGATCAATGGACAACACTCCAAGTTACTCTTACAAGAGAGAATCACTGATCATTGCCAGGACCATTCACTCTCAGGGGCTCTTGTAATGTCTCTGAAATCACAACTTGGCAAAGGGACTAGAAAACTGACTGATTTCCCAAATCTTGACTGTCATCTATATTTTAATTTTTCTTGTGCTGCCTGTTGTCGATCTGGGGTCTTGCTTTAATTTATAAACTGTTGCCTGGATTAGTCTGCAAGTCTCCAGTCTACTGCTTTCATAAGCCAAGGAAAGCTTTTCTTGGAGGCAGAAGGCATGTGGGATGTGCTACACTGCCTCGTGGTGTCACCACTACTTCTTAGTGAACAACCACAGACCCAAAACCCAAAGTGGCTTTAAGCAGCACTATGCTAGGAAGTGCTCCTTTCTGCAAGAAATATAAAAAGCAAGTCCCTAATAACCTTGCAAGCATGCAGTAAAGAATTCAGAACTGAACTGCTTGCCACCTTCTTTTCTCTAATAACTGGTAACAGCCCCTCTGTGTTTAGGTCTCTCAAGGCAGCTGGAAGAAGGGAGCCAAGGTATTTCTAACCCCACACACATGAAGACCTCCAGGCTGACTGTGGAACAAGCATTTCATCCTGTATTGATCTCCAGTATGACTTCTGCTAAAACAGTATCTGATTAAATGCAAGGTCTCAATCTTTTAATTCAAAAGGACATTTTCACTTCAGCTTTACATGGCTAAACTACTACCTAAAACTGCAGAATGAGTAATTGAGTTCAAAGCTTTTAATACTGGGGTCTGCAAGGGGTAGATGCATCTGCCAGAGTGTGGAACAAAGCCCAGCAGGAGCTAAGAGCCTTCACCACCCTTCCCACTATGTGTTAAGGAGAAAGCACATTCCTTTCATCTTTCTTTAGTGGATGCAAACTTAGCAGAATGTGCATCTTAGAAGTCAAATTCAATAAAAAACAAAACACATGCAGTTTCTCAGGAGGAAGCAGGAAAAACAGTCATGACAGATGCTAGTCACTTTTCTCATGCTCTTCTGGCAGAACCTTAAAATAATCCCTGATGTCCTCTCTACTGAACATTCAGGTGTTAACATCCATTCCACTGTACATCACAATATGATACAACAGATTGAGATAGGAAGAATGCATAAGCAACAGCTGGTTATTTTCACAAATAAACAGCTATCAACAGTGTTCTCTTGGCTCCAAGCTAGCAGAGCCACAGCTGAGGAGAGTCAGCCTTACCTAGGTGAGCCATGGATGCTTCCAACACCTTCACAGCTGCAGCATAAATCCCCAAGTGCTTTGAGTTCAGGTTGTCAATGACTGCTGTCATCAGAGAGACCATTACTGGCTGTAAGGCACCTCTGAGTACAGGTATCATCAAAGCCAAAACCTCCAATGCCCTCTGGTTCACTTTCTTGTGGAAGTCCTGAAGTGTCAGGACAAAACCATCAAAAATCTGTTAAGAAAACAAATTACATGGAATCTGGATTAAAGTGTCTTGTTTCAAGAAGGGATGTAGAAACCAATACCCACCAAAGATAAAGATGGATTAATCCTTCCTGTCAGGTCTTGCCTTTGCCAGGACAATTGCACTGTTTGCCAGCAGGCTAATCCTTGCAGCAGCTGCACAACCTCATGCTGGCTGAAAAGATTTTCACGTTTCATTGAGAGGTTTGAGTGGGGACGGGCTAGTTCATATGGCGTTTCTCTTTACCTATAAATCATTAAATTGATCTCATTTTAATAATGCAAAATAGGATCTTTGGTACAAAGGTATGGAAACATGTATTTAATACGCCCATTTTCCATAAAGTTGTCCCAAGTAGAATATCATATCATAGAATATCACAGAATGGTTTGAGTTGGAAGGGATCTTAAAGATCATCTAGTTCCAACCCCCCTGCATGGGCAGGGACACCTCCCAGTAGATCAGGTTGCTCAGAGCCCCATCCGACCTGGCCGTGAACACCTCCAGGGATGGGGCTTCCAAGTACCAAGGGTAGTTTTGATTGTCAGAACTTTGGCTGGGCGAGATCCAAGTTTTGTTTTATCCATTTCAAAACCTGCATCTGGAGGAGTGCAGGGCTCTCATGAACTCTTCAGGATCCAGACCATGTGTCTGGCTAAGAGGCAGACTTAAGTTTAATGTGCTGTGCAGTTGTCATGAGAGCAGGTTCGGTCCCTCAGCAGACACATTACTAGGCCCCATTTTCCAGAAAAAACAGCAGCTGCTGGGAGGAGAAAAGATCTGTCTCAACCCATTTTCCTCCCCTTTCCAAAGGGGACCTCCAGGAAGGGTGAGAAGTCTTTCCCAAGCAGGAAAGAGATAAGGACAGAAAGGAATAGGCAGTTTTGTCTGGACGAGACAAGATGAAGTTTACAGGAGCATCCTTGGAAAAAAAAAAGTCTCTAAAAAAAAAATCAACCCAGCCTGATACTTCTCCCCCCCTCCCAACCTATTTTTCTTCTAGAGAATAATTGCCAAGCTTTCAGTGGCTGGATTTCCTTTCTTTCTACCTAACTGGTAGGAGTCAATAGAAGCTACAGCAACAGCACATTTTACCGTCATCTCATGAACAGCACTGACAGATCCCTGCTAGAGACATGTATCTGGACTGAAATTACTTTCCCTGAAGCCTGGAGTTAGATTAAATGTTTTGGGTAAGAAGGGACCAGCCTGTCCCAAATGACTAGTAAGTAGTGCCAAGACAAACCGAGTTAACTTTACTGGTACAGTCTTGGGGAGGGAGCTAACGGGAAAGGAGCAATACCTGGACAACATTAGTGGAAATGAACTGGGGGCTGCTTTTGCAGTGATCCAGGAGGAGCTCCAGCCCCTTCATCCTTGACTGAAACTCCCGGGCTGTCAGGAGGCCATTAAGCTCCAGGAGCTGTTCAGTCACTTCCACAGTGTGAACTGGGGTGCGAGGGACTTTCTGAGGGGGCAGGGCGAGTACATCAGGGCCAGGCTTCAAGCTGTAAATAATAAATACAAGGTAAGGTCTTTTGGTGATAATGTCTTCAAATAATTGTGAAGAAGACGTCTCAAGGAGACTTCCTAATCATGTGATTTCAGCTACATCCTGATCTGAAAAACAACTTAGATCCTGATCTGAAAAACATCTCATGGCAGTCGTTACAGGAGACAACCTGCAAGTAACATTATTGCTAGTGCTTAGTCAGGAAACCCAAGGCACTGAGGAAGGGTTTAATCTCATCTGTCTGCAGACATCTTAGATACTCATCTAGCATCCTTTGGTGGGGGAAAACAGGCCCTACTTGAAAGTTTATATGCCTGTCTTATAGGAGGTGTCTGCATTATAAGGAAATTAATTACTCTGGACACATCTGAATCTGGATGAAGAGCTCAGATATATCTGAAGAGATTAATCCTACCCAGAGATATTAAGAGGCATATCTGAAAGGATCCAGAGGATGAGTAACAGAGATAAAAACAGAAGCCAGGCACCCCACTACTATGCTCACATTGTTTCCCTGGAGACTGGATCCACAGATTAACAAACCCAATGGGAACCATCTTATTAGATCAGTCTTTCTCTGCTGTAAGGATAGGGAGAACCTAACTATGATAATGAGGCATGTGGTCACATTCCTGCCATTGCTGAGTGCAACACAGCTAAACATATCCTGTGTTATCAGGGGAGAACAGGTACAAGTAGCTCTCCCATTGGCATGGGGAGACAGAAGGGACCATATTCCTTGCTCGAAGGCTGATTGCAGCACAGGGGAAAAAAAGCATGCTGTCCATCAACCAGCCAGTAACAGGTCTGAGTAACATGAATAGCTACAGAAAAAGTCCATGTTGAACTATCTGTTGATGAGAACTGCTCAGAAGTTGTCTTGCTGGTACTGTCTGAGGGTCAGAAAGCAATGACTCAGCCAGGCCAAACCACATGCATGGGAAGTGCTATGTTGGGGAATGGCATCTTGTTTCTAGACTGGGACTTCTCTTCAAACCACTCATCTAAAAAAGACTCCACTCAGATACGAATACCCTGAGTGAAATTACTTTTCCTGAGTCAAACAGCAGAGACATGACCCTTTCCCAGCCTCCACAACACTGTCCTTGCCACTGCATTGGACCTCCCAAGCTGCAACTGGTGGTTGTCTCTTCCTCTCTCTCAATTTGTGTGGAAAACCCCCCAAAGAAGTTGTATTCAGCCCAATGGAGCCAATTTTTTATCACAGAAATGCTCAGTACCCTCCAATAGGAGGCAACTTGTCCTGGGATGTCTTCGAGTTCCTGTTCTTAGACTCCTTGGGGTCTCTGCCAGCTGGAGGTTCACCTTTATGGTCTTCTATTCCCTGCAAGTAGATATAAAAAAAACCATGAATCTATAGAAAATCAAATAGGAAATTACTTGTTTAAAACCCAAGTTGTAACCAGGATCACTGCTACCAAAAAAACCCTAGGAAAACATTTCATAACTTTGAGAGGGAGACAGACCAGAGCTTCAGTGGAGAAGCTTCAGTCTGCTATTTGTTTTCAATAACCCAAAGCAGGTTGCTATCATAATGGGCAGCAGTATAAAATCCTGAATTCATTAAGTCTTGAGCACAAATGGGAATAATGCAAACAGGTAGGCAACAAGTCTTCTTAAAAAGAACAATAGGAAACTTTTGCATCTCAGGAGCTTGGCCCACCGTACTGGGAGTTGACTTGGTTCACAAACACTCTCCCTTCTTCTGCTCAAGGGCACATTCCTTTCTTGAATGTAAGTGGAGAGGAATGAATGCTGGATGCTGGATTCACAGAGCTTCTTCCAGCTCCACAGTGCATGACAGCAGGGCAGTATTCCCAGTATGTGTATTAATTATTATTGCCTTGTGCATCTTTCATATATTTGAAAATTTTCTCGGCACTACTACTTGTTACAATGACTCTTTTATCTTCAGAAGCACTATATTCCTTTCCTTGCTTTACTGAGCAGGAAGAGTGAGGATGGTGTGTTATTTTATGCTTGAAGGTAAAATTTTCTCATACTTCTCTTTCCTGTTTGTGGCTGCTTTATTTCTAACCATACTAGTTCCTTTACTGTATGGAAATAAACAGGCAAAGCACCAACCCAGGAGCACTTCCAGGAGCAAAACGGTAAGAGTGAGATAGATAGGTATGTTTAAACTCATATTAGCCATCTCAGTACTTGCATAAAGGAGACATTTCTCCTGCCAAACACTCACTCTCTTCTTAATTGTTGCCATAATATCTTCCAAGTCACGTGACAGTCCGGATTGTTTCAAATACCTATCAAATTTTGGATGATTCATCAGTACATGCAGCATCTTCCGTCCGTAACACCTAGCACAGGAAAGAGAGAAATGAATGAATGCTTTTTCTGCAGACTTACTATCTAGGCTCCCTTGTGAATGAACAAAGGAAAACTGTTAATAAAATGAGCTGATATTTTAAACTCCTCGTGTGTACTATCTTCTTGAGAAGGTATTACCTATCCAGCAGAGATTTAATTCCATGTACTGCCACTGCACAAGGCAGCCAACTGAACACAAGAGACATGAGAATACAGGGCAACAGAAAAATACAATTCCACTCTGAAATTCTGGGAACGCTTCTATTGGATTGCAAGATCACATGGGATGAGCAAAGCACGCCTCCTGCTTTGCTGTCATAGCCTATTTGCAGTATCCTGCACAAGAATTTACCTTTCTTTAACTGGCAGAGAATCTAGGACAAATCACCTCATGCTCACCATTATTCTGCACTACATGTATACACATAGGCAGCTAGTTGCTCATGTGTTCTTTCCACCTCTTAATCAGAATTTAAATTAATAATCAAAGTGAGGTGGGTTTTGTTTGCTTTGGTTCTGCTATGATTAAACTGCATCTATCTTCCAGAGGAAAGCCGGAGGTCATTCAGCACAGATAATATACAAAGACTGGGAAGAAAAATTTGTGACTACTTCAGGAAACTCAGTCTGCAGAAGTGATTTAGAAAGACTGAATGCATCGGTTGAAAACAGCCAGACTTTTTTTACAAGTCTCAGTCTTACCAGAAATAAATGCTCAGGACCATTCAGCGATGAACAGTGTCCAAGACTTCAGCTTTGCATTGTGTGCATAAAAATCAAACAAAATTGTTTCACTGACTAATCTGAACTCCATTCATCTAATAAAGATTAATTCAAGTCATAGGAATCTGTCAGTGGTCCTTCCTGCTGGACAACCTCATGTTACCTAGTAGTGATTTCCTTAGACAACGTTATCCATAGCATTCTCCTCACCAAGGAGACCACCTCCAGTGCAGGGAAGCCCACATGGGGGAAGGGAATTGAAACAAAAAAGTCAGCATGGGGCAAAAAGAAGACTTTGCCTTGGTTGAAGAGGACTGGGTTAGAGACCAACTAAGTAAACTGCACATCCACAAAACCATGGGCCCTGATGGGATGCACCCAAGAGTGCTGAGGGACCTAGCAGAAGTCATTGCTGGACCATATTCCATCATCTTTGATGGAGAACAGGAGAGGTACCTGAGGACCAGAGGAAAGCCAATGTCACTCCAGTCTTCAGAAAGAGCAAGACAGAGGACTCAGGTAACTGCAGACCAGTCAACCTCACCTCCATCCCTGGAAGGGTGATGGAACAGCTTGTTCTCAGTGCCATCTCAAAACATGTTCAGGAAAAGGTCATCAGAAGTAGTCAGCATGGATTCATCAAGGGGAAGTCATGCTTGACCGATCTGATAGCCCTCTATGATCACATAACTGGATGGATAGATGAGGGGAGGGCAGTGGATTTAGTCTACCTTGATTTCAGCAAGGCTTTGACACTGTCTCCTACAATGTCATCACAGCCAAATTCAGGAAGGCTCTACTAGATGGTAGGCAGTGAGATAGACTGAGAACTAATAGTGAGGCAGAGTCTAGTTGGAGACCTGTACCTAGTGGGGTTCTCCAGGGGTTGGTACTGGGTCCAGCCCTGTTCAATATATTCATTAATGACCTGGATGAAGGGATGGGGTGTACCATTAGTAAGTATATAAAACTGAGAGGGGGGCTGGACACACCAGAGGACTGTGGTGACATCCAGCGTTTCTTCCACAGGTTGCAGAATTGGGCAGGGAGACACATAATGGAATTGAACAAGGGCAAGTACTGTATCTGGGGAAGAGGAGGCCAATGGCATCCTGGGGTGCCTTAAGAAGAATGTAGCCAGGAGGTCAAGGGAGGTTATCTTCCTGCTCTGCTCTGCCATGGTGTGGCCTCAGTCGAATACTGTGTCCAACTCTGGGCTCTGCAGTTCATGAAGGATAAAGAACTACTGGAAAACTTCCAGCACAGAGCCACAAAGATGGTTAGGGGAATGGAGCATCTGCCCTGTGAGCAAAGGCTGAGAGAGCTGGGGCTGCTCAGCCTGGAGGAGACCGAGGGGGGATCTCATGAACCCTTATAAATATGTAAAGGGTGGATGTCAGGAGGATGGGTCCAGTCTCTTTTCAGCAGCATCCAATGACAGGACAAGGGACAACGGGCACAGGCTGGAGCACAGGAGGTTCAAGCTAAACTTAAGGAAAAACTTCTTTCCTATGAGGGTAACAGAGCACTGGAACAGGCTGCCCAGAGAGGAGGTGAAGTTTCCTTCTCTGGAGACATTCAAAACCTATCTGGATGTGTTCCTGTGTGATCTACTGCAGGTGATCCTGCTCTAGCAGGGGGGTTGGACTAGAGGATCTTCAGAAGTCACTTCAACCCTGACGAGTCTATGACACACTGTGAAGTAACTTTCTTAACATTTACTTCCCCTTCCACACTTCTGTGGTTGCATCACTTATAGCCAGGTATCAATCAGGTTTTAAATTTAAGGAGGCAGAATGAAGATCATCACCTTGTGTCCTGGTGACAGTCCTGAGCAAGCCTCACCAGCGTGTGCACCAGGAGCTGGGTCCTGTCGCGTGTACCTGACAGGAGCTTCTCGGCTCCAACTTGCTCCACCAAGGTCAACAGGTGTTTGGCCGCGCATTTCCGCACCAGGACGTTGCTGTGCCTGGAAACGAGAGCAAACACTGAGGCACAAGGAAAGCAGGGCCAGAAGCACAGGCCTTGGCCATAGCCAAGGTCCCTGTCATTGCTGGGGCAAAGAGGTGTGGCATCTCACTGCAATTTTAGCCACTGGTAGAAGACTCTGCGCTCAGATAAGCGCAAAATTGGCTTTGTACAGAGGGGCTATGTGCAAGGGAGAGGGAAGAACTTAATCTCCCTGGACTGCTTGATACTCGGCTTCTTTCCCAACATTAACTCTGAGAAAGAGGGAAAGACAATTCATGCTCACTCGTCACAGGGCTCCCACTACACAGACAGCACTGCAGCAGGACTGGGGCTAATTTCACCCATTTATCTCCAAAGTTGCAATCCCTTGAAAAACACAAATTGGAGAAAAAACCCTGTGGGGCATGAAGATATAGAATATCCAGCTAAGCAGCCAGTTTGTTCCTTGAGGTTTGGCAAGAGGTACGTTTGAATGTCTTACCCTTTTTAAAAGCAGAGGAAAGGGTAGCATTTGTTTTAGCCAGGCTGTTCTTTCCAGAGGAAGCCTCTTTGCAACCATCTAGCACAGCCCTAAAACTTTCAGGCTTCAGCCATCCCATGGCAGCTGGCCATGAAGGCACCTGTAAAGTAGCTCACAATCCCAAAGCTAATATGCTGAGCAGGCTGTGCCACACACAGTGGGTTATTCTCCACATGCTCTGTATCCCAGCAATTATCCTCCTTATTTCTCAAGTTAATGGCATCATGATGATGCCTGTTTTTTCCTAGTGCTTCTGTGGTTAGCACAGAAATATCTAAGGGTGCTCACTGCTGGAATCCCATTGTCCCTCTTCCTGCAAAGCCACAAGGCTGTATCACCACCCTTTGCAGGAAGTTTTGCTTCCCCATCATCCACCACGTCTAGGCAGTGTTGACAGCCTGTGAGAACAAACAGGCTGGAGCAGGGCAGAGGCAGATAACGAGGAAGGGAGTGAAGCTGATGAGAGAATCTAATCACTGAGTTCAGAGAAAATGCAGAAGAAAGGACCCTTCCCTCCCATCATTCCCCTTCTGCCTCCCGTTCCTTCCCCCTACCCACACAATTTAAGGAGAAGGGTGTCACTACAAGGAGGATGACATACCAGACTCCCGTAGCCATGAGAGCAGCCATCGCTCTTGCCGGAGTCACATTCGCCACCATCGTTCCCAGGGACTGACTGGCTGCTTCCCGAATGAACTCGCTGGACTCCCCCGTCTTCTGCAGCAAGACAGAAGCAATCCCAGCCACCTCGTGGTCCATGTGGTGCTTCAAGGTCCTGAAGAGCTCTCCCAGAGTGACGACTGCAGAGCGGGACACCTTCGAGCGGAGGTTGCTCACCTGTGCAAGTCACGAGGGAAACACATTTTTTTTTAATCGGTTCCCCTAAAGTCCCAGGAAAGGACATGACTTCTCACTGTGTCCAGGTGGAAAATAAGGGCACGGTTAGAGCAGAAGACCACAAGCACAGAGACACACTCACTCGGGCCCACTTACACAACTTCAACAAGACTGCAAGCCTAAGCGCTGCTCCACCCAGAACAAAGGGTGCTACTTCGCCCAGAATTTGCACTGCTTTGATTTTAGGCCCTTTTGTTGAGAACAAACAAATTAAAGCAAGCTTTCTAAGTTAAAAAGGCACAAATCTTAAAGACAAAATAGAGGAAAACAAGTACTTTCCTCCTGTCCAAAAAGGCAGCACTGGCAGTATGAGCACTCAGGCAGAAAAAGGAAGACATGGGCTCCAGTCCACAGACTAATTCACAGCAGGGACTCGTCGACTCAGGAGAACCCCAACTGGTGGCCTCAAGGTACTCAAGGATCCTGAAGATCACATGCAATTACAGCTGCAATCTGTGGGGTTTTACAGCATCTAGTGCTGCTTTGGAGTGATCCCCGATTGCAAAAGCCTCTCCCATGTGGGTAAGGAAGAAGCCTCCCATGTGGGTAAGGAACCTGAGCCTCAGAAGCTTGATTTGAAAGGTAATTTGAAGGACAGGGCAGTGCTGCTTTCTGCCAGATTTAGTTGTGCCTGTTAATAGAAATGAACAACACAAGTGCTAGAAGTGCTTGTGAAAACAAAATCTGGGACTGGGGTGAAATGAAAGCTGAAAGATGTCTCTGCACATGAGGGTGTAACAGAGAGGAAGAAGTTTCCTCAGAATTTTAAAAATAATACAAACATTAGACAAGCTAAGTTGAAAGGGCTTCTCCTCCTAACCCTGACCTCAGAGCAGGAGAATCTGAGTCCTGCATATCTAAGCAGAAAGGGTTGAGGTGTCCAACACCACAAGCAGCATTCAAGCCTCTACTGCCATTAAGTATGGGCTAAAAGGACTGATTTCAATAGAAATGGGTTAAGTCTTACTGTCTTCCGCAAGCAGAAGAAAATGTATTATGTTTGGCAATCACGTAGTAAGAGGACAAGGCAGCTGGTTCAGGCCACAGACAAATGCCTAGCTGGAAATACAGCCACAGATGTTATAAAGGAGCTCAGGTTGAGCCCTGCAAACCCCACACAGGTTCTCCAACCACCTGGTGATTGCAGTGCAAAATTTCACCTGTGCACAGAGGCAACAGATCAATGGAAAGGGCAAATTACCAAAAATAAACACAGAAAGGCAAGATATCATCAGGAAACACTGGAAAACAAATACTTGCAGTCAATCCTTCAGGATGCTGAGGAGGAAGAAGTGGGAGGAACCTGGGAGAAAAAGCTGCAGTGTTCAATTACAGCTTGGGCAGAGATTTGGGCAGTGGCAAATCACTTAACTTCTGTCTCAGTTTCTGCATTTATATGTTGCATTATAACGACACCTACCTCGAAGAGGAGAATAACAGATGTCCTACATTCCAGTAAACACAGCCTTATGTACAAACAGATCACACAGAGAAGTGACAAAGCTATTAGAAAGATGAGGACCAACAACAGTAACAAAGAAAGACACCGAGCACACATACAAATAAACAAGCATGCATCTACCCTGTGCCCTGTGTACAGAGTACATGGGACAAAATTCAACACAATGTTCTTACCTCTTTGGTAATTGCGATGGAAACATCATGAAGTCTAGACAGAAGGACTTCTGAGTGGCAGTTAGCCAGGCATCTGATGTCAAAGAGTCCCTTCACCTGCTGCTCCCTGAAAGGCAATTACCAAAACAGACTGATATTTCTCAGCACCCTCTGAACTGAGCAGGGTGGCAGCTCAAACAAGCAAAGGGAGGTGCTTCCCATACAGCACTTGATTAAATCACAGAACTCGTTGCTACAGGGTGCTGTGACAGTCAAAAGTGTACATAAATCCAGAAGGTACACAGATGGTTTCAGAGTGGATGTGTTCATCTGTATCTTTAAACAAGACAGTGCTCCTGAAATCCCTGGCACATGAAGTCCTCATGTTGCTGCTTCCTCGAAGCTGGGACACTGTGCCATGTTTCTGTCTCTTGCACCCTCCCTGTAACCTGAGATGCAGTCCTGACTGGCTGTTACTGGGTAATTTTCCCTCTCCACAACCCCTGGAAGGCCGTTCAGCAATGAGTCTTCACTGCCACTCCATAACTGAGTTTGCACTGACATCTAGTCGTGTTGTATGTGCCCAAACCCCAGAAAAAAAAAGCCACTGTGTCCTAAGATTCCACACCTGGGCAAGAACAAAATGCTGGATTTTCCAGAAAACCCATACTTAAAGCAACACCCACAACAGCAACATGCTATTTGAAAGTAGTAAATACCCACCCCATGCAGCTTGCTTTGTGAAGAACCTGAGCTACATGAAGGCACATGATGCAGCCACTGGTTCACGAGGGATGCAGGGCTGGACTGGGGATCCATACCCACGGGGCTCCCTGAGTGCAACCCAGACCCCCACACCTGCAGCAGCTCTCTGTACCTCACAGGGCACCAAACAGGAATGGGGAAGAGAAAGGGAAGAGGGGCAAAACAACACAGTCACACAAGGAAATGGATCACGGGAAGATTTTTCATGGTTATCCCAGTGCTAAAGAGCCATAGTGAGTGTCTGCAGACCCAGAGAGCAAAAAGACAACTAACAGCAGCTGAAGGGTGTACAGCCTCCTCCAGGCTGTGTCTAATTTCAGGACACACCATAATTATCAACAAAACATCTCTGGCCCATATTAAGCAGTGAGGAGGAAAATGCTGAGTTCTAAAAGTTCCAGATTCCTAAAAGGTTTTTTTTTCCTTGGCTTCTGCCATGAGCCCTTCAGGAGAAATGACAGGCTGAGCAACTCTGCACCATGTCTCAGCTGTTTCTCAGAAATAGGAACTCCCCACAGGTGCTCCCAAGACTCTCATGCCAATGGCCACAGGGAGGCCCTGCCCCTGCATCCAGCAGTGGGACCAGAGATAAATCCTTACGCAGCCCCACCTGGGCCAGTGACCTGAGGCCCCCAAATCTCTAAACTCAAGACCTGCCTCTGGCTTCAGCCAGCAAATCATCTCCTTCCACAACTTCCTCTCTTCCTTTTAAGACTTCACTTGCAGGTACGTGGAGCAGAGAGCAAAGCTGGGAAGCAGCATGGAACTGCAGCTGCTGTAGCACTGCAGGAAAAAAAAAAAAGGCTGCTCTTGCATCTTTACACTGTGACTGTTCTGGAGTGGCTTCATGAGCTACCTGTGGACATCTGGGATGTCTGGGCTCAGTGGCACTAGAAAAAAAAAAAAGTTTCTAATTTACTGTTACACTGAAAGGCAGGAAGAGTGAGCAGGGGGCTTCTTACCAGTCGTCACTGCTGAGCAACGTGAGCGTGGCAAGCAGCATCTGCTGGGGCCTGGGTCTGGTTCCCCAGGTGTCTCCACCCCCCATCTCCTCTCCACATTCCAGGGAGTCCAGAGCAGTGGCCATCAGCGAGTTCACTGCAAGGAGAGGGCCAGCTATCAGCACCACACACCCTGGGGCAAGGCACCCCACCACTGAGCAGACTGCAACCCCATCTCCCAGCCAGGATTACACATGGGTGCAAACCAGCATTGGTCCAGAGACTTTGCTGCTGTCTGGCTCGTTGCTTTCCCCAGCACCCTGACACCTCCCAGTCACCCCCAGCTGGACGCCTGCTTCTTGCATAAACCTGAAAACTGGGCACACAGAGCCAGCTCCCAAGTGCATTTAGGTACCACAGCCAGCTTGCCAATTCAGTGCCACAGGCCTCACCTCACACTCAGAGCCAGTGCCACCCAGCAGGACTTGCTAACCCAGTGTCCTGGTTTGAGCCAGGATGAAGCCAATTTTTCTTTTTACTGATTTTTTTTTCCTTCAGTAAGCTTTCTTGTAACTAGCAACAGTGTGTTCTGCTAGGCTGATAAGACAGAGGAATGTTTTTCTAACTACTGAGGCTTCAAGGCCGCACCTGCACTCTGCCGGCTCAGACACTGTGGGGAGATCTGTGACCCCCCCGTAGGAGGCTGAGTTAGACAGACAGCAAAATTGGCCAAAGATATTCCATTCCATATATCTACGTAAGCTCAGAGGAAGGTCAGAGATCACAGAAGACAACTTCCTCCTTCTTTCCCCCTTCTCTTCCGTCCATGGCCAGCGTCCAGGGAGGACTCTGTTCATCCATCACCGTCGATCCTCAGACTTGATCTCTCCTGACCCCCATAACTCTCTGCTCTGTTCCAGCAGCAGCTCTGGGATTCCTCGGGACTCTTCCCAGTTCAGGGAAGTGCTGTGGGAGTTGCTGGGGTGGGGGGAGGCGAGAGGTTTTTTGCCCATTCCTGAATATATTTGTATATAATTGTATATATTTTCTTGTATAATTCATTAGTGTTTTAATTAAAGCTGTGTAGTTTAGTTTTCAATCCAGCCAAGTCTCTCTCTTTTTTTTTCTCTCTCCTTCCCTACCTGGGTTGGGGGGAGGGGGGATTGAGAGCGTTGTTGTCGGACCTGAGTCAAACTGTGACACCCAGGAGTAAGCTCTTGAGATCAGCACATACCATCACATCCCTGTCACCTGGAGCACCAAGAATAGCTGTACCAGGAAACTTTCTGAGGAAACACCTCCAACTGTTACCAGTGGCTACCAAGCCTGAACACTGAGTACTGCTGGGCTCAGAAGAATGCACAAGCAACCACCAGGGAACAGTGATACCTGACCCTCCAAATCTGACAGTGCCTGTTTTCATGAACATCAGGTCACTTTCCAGCACCAGTGCTGTATTTTGGACTATCAGTACGAGCAAAAGCTAGAGCTCAAGGCTTTACCAGTACTTTGTTTAGCTAAACTTTCCAATGAATCTATAAGCACCAGTTGCTCCAGTATCATCAAGCTGGAGTGGATCCAAAGCAGGTTTGCTCTCAATCCTCAGGAGAGGCTTTGGACACAAGAGCCTACCTGTGGCTGAGGAATGAGGCAGTTTGTCCTCCTTGTGCAAGGAAAGAGCTGGTGCAGGGACTGCAGCAGATTGGGCTCACCTGAGTTGTGTGGGAAGCTGCCACCTTGCTTGGTGATAGGGAGGCTGGGCAGTGAGGGCCTGTTGACCTGTCTCCTCAAGGCAGTACCAGCATTCTCTCTGCGTGCATTGGTTATTCTGGGAAACGTGGAAACTGTCCCTTTGACAGGCAGTGGGCCAACACCTGCAGAGACTGAAAAGGATCTTCTGAGTGGAGAGTGTGAAGACCACCCTATGGGCTTGGAAAGGGCTAGAAATCTTGCTCAAGTGGGGCAACATCCCTTTGTTGTCCCAAACAACTCCAAGTATAAAAGTTGCACACTAGCATGGGACAATAATCACAGAATGCAGTGATGCTTTCCCTAAGAAAAGAAGAAAACTCAGCACTGCTTTTCTTTTGCTTTTCTGTTTCAGAGCCTGGATAGTGAAGTTTCATTTTGGGGACTGCTCACCAGTACTTCACAAAATAATAGCAAAAGAGCAGATAACCTTGTCCCATGCCTTTGGACTGACTGCTGCCTCTGAAGTTCACTGCCACTGCACTTGTGGGAGCCCAGGCAGCAGGAAAATCAGAGTCCATCAGCTGCAATTCAGTCAGTGACACTTCTTGCTTGCGTGGGTAAAACACAAGCAGTGGTGAAGGGCTCCAGCCCAGCTCTGCAATGTGGGCTCCTCAGCAGGGAGTGGTCTGAGCAGGATCATGTCCTGTCACATGAACAAGATCTGTCCTGTTACATAAAACTGCAAAAGATCTCACTCATTAGAAATTAAGTTTAGTTTTGTTTCTTCCAAGTTGCACCTGGGTTGAAAAGCATTCTTTTGGACTCACCCATTCACCCTTCTTGGAGGCTACTCTCAATCTGGGAGTCTGAAGGTCCATTGTACTTTGCAAGACAGAATTATCCAGTCTGAAAGACTTCATAGGGGAAGGTGAGATTCCCTAATTGACTCAGTGTGGGCCATGGGCAAGATGCTTCATGCTTCTGTATTCTTCTTTGGAAAGCATAGATAAATCGTATGTGAACTTCCACTCTCATACAGTCTTCCAATCTGATGTCATGTATGTTTGCAACACTATGCAAATGGCAAGCAAGTGAACAAAAAGGCCCACATCTATAGTAACCACTTACTTTCTGTGCCTGCAACCTCAGGGTCAATACTCTGCCTAGGGAGCAGAAAGGGCTTTTCTTTCTCTCTATGCAAAAGTTCCATCACATTTATTTGCTTCTGGAGTATTTTCTTCCAAACTGACGTTGACAAGATAACATGGATCTAGTTGCAAGGAAAATACATCAGAGTATAAAGAGAGATACACAAACAATACAACACACTTACTCAGGAACACAGTAGCAGACTTATCATAGTCTTTATGACTAGCTCCATATATATCCCAGTAGTTTCAGAACAATTCCCCCTTTCCTCACCTTAGCATACAGTCCACCCAGTTGTGTGTAACATAACCTTCCACTGGTCTAATACACTGTTTCCCAATCTACATCAGGAAGCCCTCCTTGAACCAACAGTCATAAGAGTGCTCCAAGACCTATTAAGAGCTCACAAATTACCAGTGAACAGGCAGTTCCGTTCCTACTGGGCAGGCCAGGGGAAGAAAACCCATCTGCAACAACCAGCAAGGAGAGATAATTTGCTGTTTCTGAACACTCGGGGCTAGTACTGGCACCTGCTTCTCACATCCTTGCTTCTGAAGGACTCAGGTGCTCTCTGAGAAGACGAGTCCAAAAAAGGAGTCATGCAAAAACAAGTTTGAGAATCACTGGTCTTAATGAATAGAAGAATCAAGAATGAGAGGGCTCTGAGATACAGCAAGAAAGGTAACCAAGGAAAAGCAAGATCTCCCATTTTATTTTGCAGCCTTGCTTACACTCAACACCATAATCTTTGCTTCTGTGCTTCCAAGCATGCACTTTGCACACATTCACTGGTGTGTAACTTGTTCTGTTCCAAATTGGCCTTCGTACCTAAAGAATGCCTCTTAAATAACCTTAGCACCAACTCCCAACCAGTGACTCCTGCACCAATGAAAATGCTCAAGCAATTGCTCTGTAGCTGTCAAATGTATTCCAAAGAGAATCCACTCCCCAAGGGAAGAAGATTATGAATATCAGTGACATTTTATGCCGAGCACTGAACTGTCACTGAAAAGGAAAAGCCTGTTCACCCCTGTCTTTAATCCTTACCTTTCAATTGCTGTCCTTCAAGTCATCGTCACTGGGAAGGTGAGGCCTCACAAGATGATCCATCTCCTCAGCCTGGCTGAGTGGGAGGCCTGTTAGTGGGGACACGGATTTACACAAAGGTCCAGCAAACCTCATGTCACCAACAACACAATGTTGAATTACAGGCAAGACAGGTTCCAGAGTTGGGGACTCTGGTAAGACACAGATACAGATTATGTGGAAGAAAAGAAGGTACTACCATTCTGTGCTGGCAGCAGGAATCCATCAGACTCACACCTACTGCATGATAAAGGAATCAGCCCTTGGCTTCTGGTGAGCAGGTGTGTTTGATAGAGAAGAGCAGAGAGATGGAGATTGCCCCTGCCAAAAAGGTTCTTACAACACCCTCATTTCCCAGTTACTAAAATAACTCCTGGTTTTTAATAGCTATATTTAATAGCCTTTGTAGAGATAAGAATCAACATTTCTTCCTCTTTGCTGGAATATTTTAGAGGGCATTTGAAGAAAATCTTTGATTGCTGGAGTGTCAAGGAAACCACAATTGTGTTCTTGAATCTAGAAATAATTTTTCCCAAGGGGTTTCATTCCAAATTGTAGCAAATCAGTCCCTCTTCTGGGCAGCCTCACTAAAAACTGATTTTCTTAATGGGAATAGCACAGTGCAGCTCCTTCTAAAATACTCTCCAACAGAACTGTTAAAACCCAAGAGAACTAGTAATTCCTTAAATGGCTTCCCAGATGATAAAATCATATGATAGCCAAGCAGTAAAAAAAGGAGTAACTTTCTTAAATCAGGATTTTCTTCCCTGTGGAATGGGAATTTACCTATGTCAACATGGCACATCGATAGCAGGGATACAGACCTCACATCTCATTACCAGGCCTGATTTATGCCCAGTTGAACCACAGTTCCTGTCCTGGATGGCAATAATATTGATTTGGCTACAGTTGATAATGGAGAAGTCATATGACAGAGAAATGTGATGCCACACTGGAGAAGGGCATCTGCAGCTCTCTGGTCAGCCACGTACTCTGACACTGAGGACTGACCTACAAGGGCCATTTCACCCAGAATTTTGTTTTGGATCTTTTTTTCATTTGGCTGAGGCCAACACTTCATATTCAACCCCTTTCCATACTCACCTTCTTCTCCAGTGGTCCAACTGCTGCCACGAAACTGCTGGTCCAAAGCAAAGCTTCCACCTTGGAGAGCTGCATATCTGGGTCTGAATTTGGGAATGATCCCACAGTAGACAGCAACTGGACCATGACACTTAACTTTAAAATAAGGACAGCACAAATTACTCAGATTTGCAGTGTTAGATATGGAGAGGAAAACGCAGGCAGCCATTCTCCACCTCACTGTGTTCTACACTGATGCACTTACATTCCAGAACTTTGACAGCTGAACATCTTAAAAATTCTGATGTGGCAAGCTGCCCATCCACCACTAAAGGATCTCTTTCCTCTCCTTTCACAGGGTAGACAACCCACCCTGGTCTCCAGAATTTGACAATGTCTAATAAGTAGATGCTTTCCAAAGCTAGTGCTAGTTTTAAAGTCCTTTGTTTCTGTAATTCCCACTCAGTTTTGGGTGGGGTTTTGTTGTTGTGGTTTTTTTCTCTTCATAATAAAGAAAAGACTAGGACACAATTAATCACCAGATGTTGTAACTACAAGGTGTCTTCATAATAAAGAAAAGACTAGGACACAATCACCAGATGTTGTAACTACAAGGTTTGCACTGTGCGTAAGATGTCCCAGTATCCAGTGAGCTTCATTCATTACTGGATCTGTAGGATGGAAATTGTTCATCCAAATTTCCTCCTTTGGTTTGCTTCACTGCCACAGGGGTTTATTCCTTGCTTACTTTACTGCAGTCACCCAAAACCAACAGAAAAATGTCCTGCCTCAAAAACTTTCTGACCTTGGTTGTTCCCAAAAATTCAAAATCACACACAGTGTGTTCCCCTGCCCCTTGTCTTTGCCAGTATCTTCCCCATTACCCAGCCTCCAAGGCTGGGCTCTCGCCTGTACAGCATGAAGAATAAGCTGCTGCACTTGCCAGCATCTCCAGAGGCTTATGATCAGCACTTGGAACACAGGTTTTGCACATGCTCTGCCTCCCCATGCCAAGCAGCTTTCCCAGGCACCAGTGCTGCTGCTGCAGGCGAACGTCCTCCAGGCAAAGGCTGTGGGAACAGGGCTACAAGTCCTGCCTGAACAAGTTGCCAGTCTGTTGCAGCACTTTTACCTGCTGTGAAATCATCTTGTGTTGCCCTGGTTGGGGGGACAATGGGCTCTTTGCAGAGGAGAGTCTTCTCGAAGTGCTGCTGCTCACTGGGCCTGATGCAGCTGCCGGTGGGTTCCCCTCCAGCGTCAGGAAACCTGCATGGAAAAAGAACACTGTTAGTGCCCATGACAGACATCAGTTTCTGGCCCAGCTGCTCAAGGCAGGTGGTGTTAAAACAACATAAAAATGCATTTAAGGTATGCATTTTCCACATTCTGTTAACACCAATGGCCACGAAGGCCAAAAAGACTGTTGGCAGAAGCGTAACTCCACCTCAGCAGCTGCTCTCCCCATGACCCCCACATGCACTGCAGGTCTCTCACTGCTGCTGGACCCAGTGCAGCGTGTTGGAATTGTTCCCACTGAATTCAGCACTGCAGAAGTTTTATCCTATTGAATACAAATGTATTTAAGGGGGGGCCACCAGGCTAACAATACTGGAGATTGGCGTGTAACTCCTACCTCTAGCACTTTCCAGCAGTCTGCAAGATTTTCTCCATAGAAAGGGGTAAATAAGATTTTATGACATATCCATGAGTAATTCTGATGCACAATGATAAACTCGGAAACTTAGAATGACGTGGTTATTTTGTGTAAGATGCACTCTGTATATATACACAAGTTCAAACTGCAGTCAGAGAGGCACACAATCAGTACCACAGCAGCTGCTTGTCTTCTGAGAGTAGGTCTTCATGGTACGTGGGATTTCTGCTGCAATGGACTCTAGGAAAAGCTCTAGATGCCCAGCACGCAAGGCTTGGGTACAGAAGCAGTCACCATTAGCACCTTGAACTACTATATCCTCAAATTAAGTCCAACCAGTGGCCCATGTCTTGAAATATTACGCCAGCAGTTTTTCAGCTCACATTGGTTTCTTCTAAAAGCATTTTCCTTAGACATAGTGGACTCGTCTCCCTCAGTGCTTCCCTCTTAGCTGCCTCAGGGAGAGAGGGCTCCCACACCATACTCCTGTGTGAAGCCATCCCAGAGGGCTACCACAGTATGTTCCCTGGCCAGCAGTGCTCTCCTTGTGGGGCCCTGCACACAGCTCCACGCATCTTTTATGAAGGCACAAACCAGCTCTAAGAACTCATAACTACAGCAGGTTTCCACAAACGGCTGCAAAAACCCAAGAAAACTGCAAGTGAGCATCCTGAATCAGGCAGGGGAATTCTCAATGACCTGAAACGGTTTCATTCAGCTGTAACATGGGATCTGAGTTTTGTACTGCAGTTTTCCATTATGAGTAACAAGCACGGGGAGCATGAGGTGCAGGGCTGATAGGCAAAAGCAAGAGCATTATCCTCCGATGAGACCAGTGTAGTTGTCCATTTTATTGATCTTACATCTATTCTGCTAGAGTCACAGTACTGCTCTTAGCACTTTTTTTGAGAAAAAGATAAATAGAAAAATCATCAAATCTTTCTCCCAGACTTTATTGTTTCCTGGCACACAGGCTTGCACCGAGCAACCTCCACCAGAGCACCCTGCCTGGCTCCTGCCAGCCCACACTGGAGCAGCCCCTTGCTGAGAAAGGAAAGTGCACAAGGCAGGGCTTGTCCACCAACCTCCTCCACAAACACAGTGTCCTTCACTTTGGAAACCCAGCTCCATGTCGCTAAGCTTGTCATCCCCCCAGGATCTTTAGAGCCCCACCACAAGGCCTCCTGCAAGGGTACAAGGATTTCTCCTGCTCCAGACCCTGCGTTTCCAAAGCTGGGGGCAGGGATGGCCACTTGTGAAGCGGGACCCCCTCCCCAGGAAGGCAGCAGGCTCCCCCTCCCAGCTGCACCAGCGCAGCGGGCAAAGCGTCCCGCACCATGAACAGGGCTGCACAGCAACCGCTCTCTGAACAAATCTCGAGTGTGAGAAGCAAGAAACACCTTTCACCTGCGGGGCTGCAGCTTTTAAGGGCCCGAGGGACCCCAGCAGCACCTGAGAGCTGCACGCAGGGACACACTCGGCAGGGGCACAGTCCATAGGGACACAGTCCATAGGGACACACTTGGCAGGGGCACAGTCCATAGGGACACAGTCCATAGGGACACAGTCCATAGGGGCACAGTCCATAGGGACACACTCGGCAGGGGCACAGTCCATAGGGACACAGTCCATAGGGACACAGTCCATAGGGACACAGTCGGCAGGGGCACAGTCCATAGGGACACAGTCCATAGGGACACAGTCCATAGGGACACAGTCCATAGGGACACACTCGGCAGGGGCACAGTCCATAGGGACACAGTCCATAGGGACACACTCAGCAGGGGCACAGTCCATAGGGACACAGTCCATAGGGACACACTCGGAGACGACGAGAAAGGGAACCCGGCCACTAAGCAGCGAGTTCTCAGCCGCTGTGCCCACCTGCAAGGGAACAGGCTGGTTGTTCCCTTGCGCCGGGGAGCCCGGCTGCCCGGGGAGCCTCCAGCTCAGCTCTGCAGGGTAAAGTTGAACGCTCCTTCCTCTACGGGGAAACAGCATGAGCAGCACAGGAAGCTGAGACCCTCATTAAGCCACCAGAACAGACAAGCAGAGGGAAGAAGGCCCGCGGGTCTGACTGAGACAACCCAGGGGCATCGCAAGTGTTCAGCAACAAGAAGTTCGAGGGGTTCGTCCCTCCCCCTCAGGCTTATAGTTGATACCTCCCCCCAAACCTCAACCCCAGGGGTACCGCGCACTCCTGCTTGAAAAGGGAACGGGAACACGGTACAAAGGAGGCGATTCACACGCGCCGCAGTTGCCCACGGCGGAGTGTGGGATTTGGAGCATAGGAAGTTCAAGGTGAATATCCGAAAAATTTTTTTTACTGTGAGAGTGACAGAGCACTGGAACAGACT